ACCCCACAAAATGAATCAGTACAATGAAACTACTTTTTAATTAAAAAAAAAAGTCACTAAGAGCTTAGTTCCTGAGACAATATTTATTCAGAAACAATATAGCATCTTAGCTATGTAAAGGCCATATTTACATGACTGCCTCATTATACTGGCTCCCCTTCTTTAACATTCTTTCTGACTTACTTGAAGGGCCAATGCTAACATCGCTGAGGAAAGCAAATGGCAACTGGACCTGGGATTTATGCTGGGCGAGAGAATTGGAATATGTAGTCATATAATATATTGTTTACTGTAGCAAGTTCCCTCTGTTCTCTAAAGGTCAAAAGCATTGTAACCTCAGAGTTACAGTTTCTGATTATTCCCAGGGTTAAATACATGATCTAAATTAATGGTTGGGGCCCCTCCGCCTTCAGATAGATGAGGATTCATGCCTCCATCTGCTGAACTATTCAACTAAAAATAGCATTCTTTTGGCCATCTTGCTCATAATATTGTGCCCCTGAGGCAGAGAAAACTGTGCCTGAGATCTGCATAGAAGTACCCCAAACGGCTTTTCTGTGTCTTCCTTATTTTAAAGAAGGAATGGAATATGCCAATATAAGGAGCGGGTCTCCATTTAAAATACTTCCTCTCCACAAACGCGGGCTTCCAGGGTCTTATAGACATCATAAAAATTGTGAGGGTGAGTGAAAATGTATTGCAACAAAATCATCAAACCTTTATTAAAACTATCAAAATGTGAAGTACTGTGTCTCAATAACCCTTCCATCCTCCAGACCACATACTTCTGAAGGCAGTTTTCCCATCCGGCTGACCCTTTCCCCAAAGAGCGCTGTGCGCTGAGAAGGACGCCAGGTCAAAGCGGCAGTTCGGGCATTCGCAGGGACTCAGTGTTTCTTGTCCGTGTTCTTTCAGTTTGGGGGTGAGTAGGGAGAGTTTAAAGGGGTAAGATCATAGCGCCAAGGCGAATGGGGGAAAAGTTTCCCAACAAAGTTCTCAAAGGACAGCCCTGACTCCCTTCACTGAATGGGCAAGTGCAGTGCTAGGGCAGGAATAACAAGACAAAAACGCTGGGCACAGCAGAGTGGCTTTTTACTCACCCGTGTGGTTTTCCATTTCCATTTCCTCTCTAATAAGGATTGTACTTTGAGAAAATGTATCAAGGCTACCTCTTTGGAATCCAAAAAATCAGCTGCCCTCCCTACCTGAAAGTCATTTTCCTTTTTGTTGTTTTGTTTTTGATATATTTTTTAATTTATTTATCTTTTAAATCATTTTCTTGGGGGCTCTTACAGCTCTTAGAACATTCCATATATCAATTGTATCAAGCATATTTGTACATCATCATTTTCTAAACATTTATTTTCTATTAAAGCCCTTGGCATCAGCTCCGTTTCTTCCTTCCCTCTCCCCCTTCCGACCTCTTGATAAATTATAAATTATTATTTTTTCCATAGCTTACACTGATCAAAGTCTCCCTTCACCCACGTTTCTGCTGTTTGTCCCCTGGGAAGGGGGAAGTTACTCACCAATCATTCCCCTTCCTCCCCCCCGCCCCTCACTTCTCCCTACCCTCCTGATATCGCTACTCCCAGTTCTGTTCCTGAGGGGTTATCTGTCCTGGATTCCATGTGTTGTGAGCTCTCATCTGTACCAGGGTACATGCTCCAGTCTAGCCAGAACTGAAAGGCAGGACTGGGCTCTTGATAGTGGGGGATGAGGAAGCCTCAAAGAACCAGAGGAATATTGTGTGTTTCATCAGTGCTGTACTGTGCCCTCTTGACTCTTCCCTTCCTTGTGACCCTTCTGTGAGGGGATGTCCTATTGTCCACAGATGGGTTTGGGGTCTATACTCTGACTCCCTTCATTCTCAACAATGTTTTTGTTTGTTTGTTTTGGGTCTTCTGGTGCCTATTACCTGATCCCATCGACACCTCGTGATCGCACAGGCTGATGTGCTTCTTCCATGTGGGCTTGTTGCTTCTCTGCTAGATGGCTGCTTGTTTACCTTCAAGCCTTTAAGACCCCAGATGCTATATCTTTTGATAGCTGGGCACCATCAGCTTTTTCACCACATTTATTTATGCACCCACTTTGTCTTCAGTGACCATGTCAATAGGCTGGGCATCACAGAATGCCAGGTCATTAGAACAAAATGTTCTTGCATTGAGGGAGTGCTTTAGCAGAGGCCCAAAGTATGGAAGTCACTGTTTTAAGTGGACTTTTTTTTTTTTTAAAGGTACCCTAATTTGACCAAGACAAGTCTGTTACTGAGAGAAATTGTCTGCATCCTTTCATGGATGGCAGGGACACATTCAACCAGATTTTATTAGGAATAAACCTGTGCATGGATGAACTAGAGTCTTGGTAGAAATATGTTTAGACATGTCCCTGTACTGTGTTAAGATTTGCCAAGGCTTATCTATCTTGGAAGTGACAAACTTTAAAGGGCAAATTAACTTTAACAATAGGTTAAGGATAAGCTCAGAATACTTTAGCAGTGTGTGTGTGTGTGTGTGTGTGTGTGTGTGTGTGTGTGCAAGAGATGATAGATAGGTAGATAGGTAGATAGGTAGGTAGATAGATAGATAGATAGATAGATAGATAGATAGATAGATAGACAGATAGAGATAGATAGAGATAAGCCTTTCCTCCTGGAAATTTGTTTAAAAAGAAAATCAGTTGACATAATACTATTGACAGTTTCTCGTGATCAGTGATAGAGCTGCGACATTTCAGCTTGTCAAATGAGGGGAGAAAACTAGCCAGAAGGGAAAGCAGATATTAAAAACCATAAAGCAAAAAAAATATTATATCATTTTCCCCTTACTTTAGCTCAAGAGTCAGAATGCAGCAGCTTAACTATGGTGGTGTACTCTGATTTTAGATCTCCCAATGAGCATGCTATCCTTATACCAGAAAGTGTGGCAAATCTGCCTTTCATACAAGGTCAATCTTTTCGAACTCAAGTGCCACATGAGCAAACAGATCAGAGGTTTCCTGGCAAGCAAGAAAAAGATGTAAAAATGGAAGCAAGAGAACAGAGCAGAGATTAAACCAAACCCCAGAAAATTCTCAAACTGGCCCCAATTTAAACTGCAGATCTCTGAGGTTCCTGCATTGATGTGTTCTCGATTTAGGAGCCCTGGTGGAGTAGTAGTTACCTGTTGGGCTGCGATCAGCACGTGGTCGGCAGTTCGAAACCACCAGCAGCTTCATAGGAGAAAAACTGAGCTTTCTACTCCCGGAAATAGTTACAACCTTGGAAACCACAGGGGGTCGCTATGAGTCAGCACTGACCTGATGGCAGTGAGTTTGCTTGAGTTCTATTCAGTCTAATGAAAGTGACAGACATAGACAGATGGCATGCTTCTTGGTCTGCTCTGCTGCTGCACCACACAGATCTGACACTCACATGAATGGCTTCGGGGCTTCCAGAAACCCAAAAGGAGACAGGCTTGATAGGACAGGGGTTGGTAATGGCAGGGAGTAGTGTGGGGGAGAAGCTAACCTTGTGAAAAATGAAGTGATGGGGAAGATGGATGGGGAGAAAGCCCTCCGTGAAAATCAAAGTTAAAGAAGAGAGGAAATCTTGAATCCAACCCAAAGCTGTCACATTCTTCTGACCGCTTAGCAGTCTCTCAAGTTATACGCCCTGAGTGGGTGAGCAGAGAGATCAGTTCCTAATGTCCAGTCTTCTCCTGTTTAGCTCTTTGCTCTGCGTGCCAAGAGACATGGCACCTTCTCTTCAGTCTAAAGAAAGCCTGAGATAAGAAGTTTCTTCCGGGTGTATAGAAGACAAAAATATGCTAACAGCACATGTCTGATCATGTCTGGGTGGAAACCCCCTGTGCACCTCTCCTATCAAAGTGAAAGTGAAAGAGCGAGGCAGACACTGGGACTCTTCCTTAGGCTAAGTCCAAGGTGGCCTTTGATCTTGTCCTAGTCCTTCTTGTTAGAACGGAACCCTCTCTGTCATATTCCAAAAGGCATGTTCAAATCGGTGAGGCGCTAATGTCTGAGACCCTCTGTGGATTACAGAGTAACCCGTTACATAGCCATTGTGATATGTACAGACTGCCACGGCCAATAGGGACTGACTAGATAGCACTGATAGATGGAACTATTTCCTTCCGTTGGGCTGAGTTTTCCAAACCAAAGAAATAGATTTTGTTATTAGATCTATCCCAGAAAATTGAAATGTATTTCAGTCTGCGGTAACCTGTCTCCACTTTTTTTTTAAAATTCAACAGCTAGCTGGCAGCCCACCAAGGACTGATAGCCCCAGAGGGGAACACCAATGATACAGGAGAGGAATTAAGCATGAAACTGGAGAGAGGAGGATTGGGTATTTGTAGCAGGCAGCGTATTCAAAGGTATTCAAAAGAAAGAATATCTAGCAAAAACAAAGAGTTTTACTGGAAGGCTAAATCTGAACAGCATACTAAGAAGCTTACCAGGCAAAAAGTAGCCACTTAGACCCTAGCAGCCACACATATTTTCAGCCTGAGAAATTCAAGTTAGGAAATCTGATTAGGAAGAGCAGGAATCTTGGGTAAAATCCCTGATGCCAGAACATTTTGTAACCTTGGTTAAATAATTTGGCTGCTCTGAGCCTCGGTTTCCTAGGCTATAAAAGTGGAATGGTATTTTATAGGATTAAATGTATAGGACTGCTATATAGTCCAATGAGATAAATATTGTTTTTATGTTAAAAACAATACATAGCACTATACATAAGAAACAATTTTCAAAAGTGAAGGAAAGAACGGAAATTTTGAAGGCATTCCTAGTGTAAAGCAATAAAGAGTCTAGTTTAGGAGCACTGGTTGGGGGTTGCCTTTTTCTCTGGAGGAAAAGGAGCCAAAGCAGAATCTCCTGAGCAAGGAGAGGAAAGATTAGACTGTCGGGTTTAGGTCAAACGTCTGCCCCTTTAGAAGAAATCCTGACTAAGCAAACCAACCCCCCACCCAATGAAGCACCAACAGAAGCATGCATACCTCAATCTGTTTGTGGTTGTAAGAGTGGCCACCACCATGTTCAAAGGTGTCCAAATTCCTGCCAAAACGGTCACTTAGGCCCTTGAGCCTTGGGTTAATTTGTGGGTGAGAGACATGACCCTTCTGTTTAGTAGCACAGTCAGAAAACAAACAAACAAAAAAGACAAAACAGATTGTCAGAGATCATGAAACAGAAAACATCTTTCTAAATCTAGGGTGTTTCCCATACCAAGGAGTGAAAAGCAGGAGGGTTAGAACCCAGACGCTCTTATGGAAACCAGAGACTCCCTTGTGGTGAGACCAAACAACGGTACTGGCTTCTTATTTCTGTCTCCGATGTGAGAAGACACTGTATCGGTCAGTTATGGAAAAGGAGAAATAGGTAAGGTTTACTCTAAGTAAGGTTTCTCTTTAGATTGTGAACCAACTGCCTGTGGCAAGTTCCAGGGTTAGTCGTGGGAAAGGGAAAGGCTTGGAAGCAAGGTAGGGCGACTGTCCCTGGAAGGCAACATTTGTCAGCTCATCCATCATGGACCACATCCTCCAGGCTTTCTGAGTGAGGCTTAGGGCACAGCTTCTCTAAGTGTTACAAAATTCAGCATTCAGGTGCTTCAGCCTGAGTTATTTTTAGATCCACTTGAAAAAGTTCAAAATAAATTTTTCCTGGTAGATTATCTGTATTTTTTTTAAGTTCAAGTCATATAAGGAAAAGAAGTAAAAATGGTCAGCTACACATTATTTTCTATATGTTTAAGAAAGCCCAAATATAATCATCAGTAATTTTTAGAACTAAAATCTTCCCTTTAACAACTGCCCCCTCTATTGAAACTCAAGCTGCTCGTTTTCATATATATTTTCTAAATTTTTAAATGCTGAGGGGTTGACAACTATGTTAATGATCTTACCTTTTTGCTTTTATTTGTTAAACATGCATTTGTTTTTAAAAGTCAACTTCCTATTACAAAGTAGTCCTAGAAGAATGTACAGATCATCTATCCCTATTCCAAATCTCTCACTTCACATGTGAAGAAAGTATGGTGTTAATGATTATTCATGCCCTCCCCAAACAATCCCCTCCTCTTCCCCCACCCCCACCCCCGACCCCTGCCATGCTTAGCTTTGTGAGTAAAGGACACTGATCTAGAACTTGGCTTGACCTTGAACAAGAATGAAAACACATCTATCTAGAAGGAACACATTTACATTTCACTAAACATACTCAAGCAGCTTGAGAATAACCACAACTTATTCTATGACCTACCAGAAAGGGTCTACCCACACAGCATCATTCTCTGTCCTGATGCTATGCGAAGAAACAATCTGGCCTTACACAAAGACAGAGATGCAAAAGTGACATGGGAAAAGCTAACATAACCCTACAGATAACCCAGAACTGTAAAACCACGAACTTACCTGACAGAGAATGCATGTGTATAAGTGATAATGCTTTTTGTAATGAAACTGGCAGGTTTCTCTTCATTTGCTGTCTGATAAGCACTTAAGGTGTTAATCCTTCTGGGCCACGCTTAAAAAAAATTATTTAACCTTCAGGCCAGTATTTAGCATACAGCTGGTTTGCAGTTTCCCACTAAAGCACTGGCTTGTATCCCACATTTTTTCCCTTCTGGCATTTACCTGGAGCTGTAAAGGGCTGAGTCCAGAAGCAGCAGCAGCTGCCATTGTTGATGGAATGAACTGTACGGGGTAGTTATCACCTGTCAGAGAGAACAATGCATACAGGTTTAGACAATGCACAGGGAATCGCAGCAAACAAGTACAAACATGGTCCTTGGATCGCCTGAGCTTTACAACATAGCTCTAAGCCCAAACATCTGCAGAAACAAAAGGCTTAGTTGGGCACAGACTTGCAGTGCTGCCGTGGAACTTTTTGTTAACAGATAGCTGGTAGGCAAACTGGCAAAACATGAATGTGATGTTAAAAAAATTAAATGTGCAATTCAAGCATGTTCACTCCATTACAAATCTTGTAATACATCATTTTTTTAAGACTAGAAAAAATATCTTAAAGCCAGGCTGACACTCAGTACACTGAGAAATCATTGAGGCTTTTATATTAGAACAACAAAAACATTTTTGGCTTGGTAGGCAAGGCAGGGTATTAGCATGAGTCCAAAAGAATGATGAGTTATTATTGACTGCTCAGACCTCTAAACTTTATTCCATGAAAACTACAGGAAAACAATGACAACGTCTTCGGTGTGGAAGTGTGAGAGGGCAGCTGATCTCTGCTCACACTTTAGAGTGCGGCATCCGGTGAGAGTGGAGCCGTACCTCTTCGGACTAAGCTCCACTGGAACCTAACACAGGGCCATGCACACTAGACACGTATCCAATATACTTTGGTGATGATCTGATGAAGCAACCACACACTTTCCATGGGATTAAAAGCCTGGCGGAGATTGACCATGGTTCAGCAGAGATCAGTGCCACATCTTAGCGTGCTGTGGACTCCAGACCACTCCCAAGCAGGGCAATGGGAGCCCCTCCTGTGGCCCAAGCACCCCGCTGCCGGCCCTGTCCTGGAAGAACCGAGAGAAAGTGATGGGGCTGTATCCCCATAGCGGTAACTAGAATCCACATTCATCCTTGTGGATAAATTACACAATACCAGTGATTTAATGGAGTATCACTCAGACTTCAGCTACTTATTTAAGTCAGCGTTATGCACTATCTGTAGGCTATATTTTAATAGGCTATCCCTCCACGCGTTTTTTGATATTTCTAATAACCACACTGTTTTACATGAACTACTTCCTGTTAAAAGGATGAGTGTAATGATGAAGAGATGGTAGAGAAAGCATCGGTATTAAAGGTTGTCCAGTAGAAAACAATAAAACAGCTTTGCCTTCTTTCTTTCTTTCTCTCTCTCTCTCTCTGTTTTTCTTTCTTTCTTTTTCTTTCTGTGTGTGAACACAAATACCTGGAAGTTTCTGCGCCCTTGGTCCCTTGAAGTGCATCCTGCTTGCCACGTGAAGAGCTCCTTGCTCAGCTAGCCCCATGTAAATGTTAAGTTGCTTTCACGTCTAACAAATTGTTAGCGTCTAATCTACACAGTCTCTTTGCATCCTATCCATAATGCCTCATCAGACCATTGAGCACAGTGTGTGCTTGTACACAGTCCAGTGACAATTGGCTTCTGATTGCATATGGAGTGCTGCTACAATGCACCCACTAACGCTATATTGTGCTGGTCTCCTATGGAGTAATGTTCAAAACATCTGATCTTGTTTTTCCCTTTCCATGAGGTTGATTTTGAGCTATATGAGCTTTTTAAAAAAGATAACTAGGCCAAATTCTTTTTATTTTCAAACAGTAAATGACGGTCGCTTTATGCTTAAATAATTCTACAGATCTTCTTGATATGTAAACTAAATTATCTGAAGAAAGAATATCCTAATCTAAGTCAAATAGTATTTCTTTGGTCTACATCTTATCAGGTTAGGGAAAAAAAATCACAAAATGATGCTGAATTAATGATGCTTCATAAGGGTGGGTGGGGGGAATCAACATTCCAAACACCATGGATGACCTCCTGGAACATTTTAGAGCTGTTCTTTCTTTAAATATCATGCATTATTCATACTAACTCTAAACCACAATTCCCCCCTCCCTGTAAGTTTAATACCAGTTGCTTTATTTGTACTAAAACATTTTTCATGTCAAACATATTTTAAAAAATCAAACTCTAAAAGAACTCCCCGGGGCACTCCTTTTTTCATAGCCGTCATGCTTCTATGGTATGAAATAGCTGGTTTTTTTAAAAGAGTTTTTGGCTTGCCAGTTAATTTATTCCTATCTCTACCACACCCTGTATTCCTCTCCAGCTCACCTGCTGGCTACAAACAGCTTTCTTTCCACTGCTGACAAGTATACGTTTTTTAATGTTTTTCTCCTTTCTGCCAGTTTAAATCTGTATATCAAAATATAATACTTTTACAAAGCCATTCCTCCAAGATATGTCATTGTTGCAATAGTAAATGTGAATACATTGGAGCAGCAAAGTATTTCACAGAACGTACTTAGGAGAGAAAGAAAGTAAAAGGCAGGAGATGATAAGGCAGAAGCCAGAGGAAGGTTAAGAGTAGAAAAGAAACAGTTAAGAGTGGAAGAGTTTTACAAGGATAAAATCCACTCCCATTGAGTTGATTCAGACCTCCAGTGGCACGATGTAGGGTTTCTAAGACTATAAATCTTTACAGGAGCAGAAAGCCTCACCTTTCTCCCTCAGACCACCTGGGGGCTTTGCCCCCCAGACCTTGAGATTAGCAGTCTCGGGCTTGCCCAACAAAGCCACCAGAGTTCCTGTCAAGAACTAGAGTGAATTTTAATTTTTTAATAAAAAATGTTACATGTTCTTCCTCCCTTTAATTTTCTCTGTGTAAGAGTAGATCAAGAAAGGAAAGAAAGAAAGAAAGAAAACCTCAGTGACTGACTTGGCAAGAAATCAGTCAACATGTTGTAGCAATTTTTTTCAAATTTGTTTCTGGGTTTGAAATGCTTGCGTGAGGACCTATTCTTTAAAATGTGTACAAAGGAAGCAGCAGCCTGTTGGAACAGGTTGGCTGTACACACGACTGTAATCGGGCCCTTGCTACCTCTCGTGTAAAAACAACCTCCAAAGGCTCGTTTGAGCAATAATGGCCATTCTGTAAACCCATCTCTCAAGGCTCCTCTATTTTCAAACAGATTGTCTTTATCTGAAGGTTAAAAACAAGGGTTAAAAAAAAAAACCTATGAAAAATTCATGAGGCGTTAGTTTGACTTGTCCAAGTAGACAGCTTTCCTTCACAATCAAGCCCACTCAGCAGCGAGCATCTCAGAAGTCAAACCAGGAAGAGCGAAACGAAGGCAAAACTAAGTGGAACTAACATGTGGGAGCAGAGGACTTTGGTCAGAGAACTGAAATCTCAGGCTGCCTCCCACAAAAACATACCTGTGTGAGCAATTCAGACACGCAACTTAAAAAAAAAAAAGAGTTAAATACCTTGGGGGTAAAATTCTGTCCATTCACTTTCATTCTACTGAAAGTCAAGGGACTAATCTGCTGGGGTATTTACTTCAGTTACCAACCCATTGAAAAATTACTTCAAGAGGTTGGCAGTAAAAATTGAAAGAAACATTAAGCTAGGAGACAAGATTCAAGGATTTGTCAGCAACTGGCTTAAGTGGGACGGCAGCCTCATACCTTACTTTCCAGTCTCCAAACAAGGAAAATATACTACACGTTCCTAACCACCTCACAGATGACAGTGTGGTGGCATCATGGGAGGATAATTAATTACTTAAGTTTTCCACCAACTTATGAACAGACCTTACCTTTATGAACTATCTTTCTACACCATGGGAATGTTCCACTCACAAACACTTGGACATCCCACTTTGCATGGGTATACGTATCAGAGAAAGAAAACAGTACAATTCTTCTGAATACTTGGGGAATGTGATACTACAACAGTTATCCTGGTAAGAAGTTACATTGGAGCAAAAACTGTAAGGTAACTCTAAAAAGGAGGAAGAAGAAAGAAGAGAGTGGCCTCCAAGGTGTTGTGGGGAGAAGAGTTAAATAAAAATCATTGTCAAGGCTTCTGACATACCATATACACACATGTATAAGCTGAGTTTTTCAGCACATTTTTAATGCAGTTTTTGTGGTAAAATTAGGTGCTTCGGCTGATATTCGGGTCGGCTTAGACTTGAGACCACAATTCACTTATTATTTTTTCTGCTACATTTCCCTGCTTGATTCACCAAATCGTATATCAACGATGAACAAGTCTTGATCCCAGGACTTTCTCTGAGGTCATCTGCATTGCTTTACACTCCTCTAATGAGGATAAGAATCCAACAAAATCTTAATTTCATAGCATTTCATAGTTGCATACTGACCCCGGACAATCATTTGAAAGGGAATGTAATTTGTTACAATGGCAATTAATAAGCAGATGTAAATGGAATTCTGTAAACTTATCCCATTACTAGAAATCAATTCAAATAACAACTCAAAGTTCATGCTTGAATGAAAGCTTGTCAAGGATATTGTCTCCATCGGGGAAGCGGGCACCACCAGCACCAGTCACCATGGATGCTCTCTGTATCACACGGTGCCCTACAGGCCTTTCCTTCAGGGCAGCGCTGGACACAGCTTCAAATCACTCCTCATCATCAGAGAACCAGGTCAGCTTACATGCGTGAACATATTCGCCCCGAGACTCAGTATCATAGTTCTAAACTATGGAGACTGAAATGAAACTCTCAGGAATGCCTTGATTCTGAGTCTGTAGCATTGCTCAGGTATTACAGTTATAATGGCTAGACCAGAAGAAATTTGAGATGACTGACTTTACAAGATGTCATTTCAATAACTTCACACACATAAATCATATTTTTTCACATCAAAAAGATACAGTTTTCCTATGATCAAATACATACCACAAAGAGTATGGAATATCAAATCAGAGACCATCAGTCTGAATTTTGGTTCCACTATTTTCTAGATGTGGAACATTGGATAAACTGATTAACTTCTTTTTAAAAATTCCAAAATAGAAATAATACCATTTATAACTTTCTATCTTAGGCTTATGATGAGAACTAAATAAGAAAACACATTAGGGTAAGTAAAAAAGTATGGCTATAAATTAATAGAATCTTTTATTAAAAGAAATCACAATGTGATCATATTGTTTCTCAGCAT